GACGATAGCTAGTGCAGTCTCCTGGACTGCCCTTCTTCTTCCATTTCTTCCAGATAGGAATCGTCGTGCTTTGTTGCCAGCTTTCAGGCACCTTCTTCTCTGCAACGATCTGGTTGAAGAACTCCGTCAACCATTCTGCAGGATTCCAGCATTTCGATTTCCACAAGTCCGCCGCTAGGTCGTCAGGACCAGTTGCTTTGCCTGATTTCATCTTCTTCATGGCCGTGATGGTCTCCTCCATGGTTATCTTCTGAACGGGACCGTGTACTGGCGGAGCGCAGGGGATGGCGGGATGAGTAAATTCGACTGTTGAGATGTTTTCGAAGTAGTCACGCCATCGTTTCAGTGTTTTCTTGCGGTCCGTCAAGAGGTGGCCATTCTCGTCATTTATGCCGAAGAATTTTTCTATATCCTCGGTCTGGCGATGGCGGGTCTTTGCAAGTCGGTAAACGTACCGCTCTCCATCGCGCGACTCGTTAGTATTTGTATTACTATGCAGCAATCAATTGAGCTGCTTTCAGCAGCAGAACGGCGCTTCCTTTTGCCTCTTTCTTCGGCTGTCTGATAGCTCAGCCAGTTCTCAGATGTCTTTTCGTGGAGAAATGCGTGGTACCGCTTCTTCTTTTCGCGCACTTTCTCTCTGACCTGGTCCGTCCACAGCCACGTTTGCTTGTCAATTCTCCGCCGTCCAGGCTTCGTCATCCCGAGCTCGGATCGAGCTATCCGAGTTATTTCTTCGGCAGCACCTTTCCAGGTTTCGTCGACAGTCGTTACCGCTGGTAAACGAATGCGGGAAACGACGGCCGCTTCTTTTTCCTTCAGTCGCCACCACTTAATTCTCGCTGGCCCACACCTTTCGGTTAGTTTCGCTTTCGGCGGGGCGACCTTTAGCGTACAAATTAGTGGTCGGTGTTGCGTGGCGACCGTTTCATAAGGCACTGTTTTCGCGTCTGTTACGAGCCCTTGGTCGCGGCGCCTGACAAGTACGAAATCAATTTGTGTTCTGGTGTTACCGCTATAGAAGGTGATGAGATGTGAGTCGCGTTTTCGGAATTTCGTGTTCACAATGGCGAGGTTGTGCGAGTCTGCATACTCGAGAATTCGCTCGCCATCAGTGTTACGTGACCCATATCCAAAACCACCGTGACAGCTGTAACCGTCTTTCGTAGCGCCAACGTGCCCATTGAGGTCACCTGCGACAATTATAGCTTCTTGTGACGGAACCTCAGCTGTCTTCTCATCAAGCAGGTTCCAGAACTTGTCTTTGGCTTGCTCGGAGCATCCGGTCTGCGGAGCGTACGCAGAGAAGAAGTGGTATTTTCGTTGTTCGATGACGACAATGATTTTCATTAATCGGTCGTCGAAGCGCTCCACGCTCACTATCGAATCACGGAAGCGTTCAGAGACAATCATCCCGACGCCATTGGTGGTTTTGGGACCGCCACAGAGAACGGCTTTGAAGCCGCGGCCAATGTCCCTCGACTTGCAGCAGGACCACCTCGTTTCCTGCACGGCACAGAAGTCTATTCGTCGGCGCTCTAGCGCTTCTGCCAGCTCGCTGGAGCGGCCCGTCAACGTGCCAACATTTAATGTTGCAACGCGGGTCTTCGATACGTTGCATGGCTTTTGGACTAGCCTAGTTGCCCCCCGATGCCGTCCTTGCACCGGAGACCCTCGCATACTTTTCACACTCGCCGGGCTTTGCGAGTGCGCGTCGGCTCCCGCGGACGCCGTAGCATTATCTCGAAATTCATATGGCGACATTAACATTTGTGATGTGACGTGGGTGTTCGTAGGCCGGCCTGTCACGAGGGCCTGTCGCCTGCATTCGAATGTCCGTGTTCAGCTCAGCTCACACAAAGTGAGCAGTTCCCAGTGGCACCCCTTGGAGGAACGGACATCACCACCGCCCGTCCACATCCATCTCACCGCCTGCTGGGAGGTTGTACCTAGCTCAATAGTGCACCCCAGATGTTGGCTTCTCGCCACGATCCCTAAAGGCTGCAGAGGCAGGGTGCAAGCTCGCCGAACAGGAGTGGCTAGGGGCAGTCGAACATGCGCGAGGGAAATGATCACCGACCACCCTTCCCAAACGGTGTCGAATGAACACACTGGTACACCGTCCAATCCGCTGGCACACAGCTCAATGCGCTGGTGCAACGCTCGCGAATCGCTAGTGAATCGCTCGATTCGCAAAGGCTAGTGAATCGCTCGATTCGCAAAGTCCGACACCGGCCGAAAAGCTCACCGGCGGTGCGGATGCGAGTGCATGCCTGTGCCATCACTGTTGAGGCGAGGGAGCAAGCAGTGGCAGGTTTGCCCGTCATTCCGCCAGAACAAAAACGGGTTAGTGTTACTCGACTTAACTGTGCGTTTTTCCAATAAGAGGCGCCTGGAGCGAATGATTGGCATTACGACATGCCCTCCTGCCACCAAAACACTACTGGAACGAATAGTGAAACAAACCAAGTTTTTTTTTTTGTTTCTCTATCTAGAGCACAACTACGTTGATTGCAACAAGTTTGATACTCGATCTTAGGCTTCCATTCCTACTCACTACCACTTCATTCACAGTGAAGCTAGGGTACCAATCACACAAGGTAAATTTGCTTGTTGTTCTCCTCGCCGCCCTTGTGACGGCGCCAGCCCGCGCTCGCGTCCGCGCCGCAGGTGAACCGAAGGTGGCGTAGCATGAAAGGTGATCCGCTCGCCACGTGCATATGTCTCGAAACGAATCTCGCCTAGATCGAATCAAGCTTGACATCCCTCCGAACGGTGCTATCGTAGTTGAGGGAGCCACGCGGCGGCGCGGTGCTCTGTTCGCCTCCTCCTGCAAGGTTTAGTGCTCGATGGCACGTATTTCGAAACTGATAGCGAAATAGTAACTGCCTCCGGGGTTTTTTTTTGGGGTTTTACTTTCTGAGCCTTCGGAGGAGCAGACAAACAGAGCACCGCGCGCCGCCGCGTGGCCCCCTCAACCAAGATAGCACCTCCGAACTTGTCTACATGATATCTCATACGCCTATCAACTATCACAGCCCCAAAATCTCAAAATTTTAATTTTCGCCGAAACTTCGCCCATAGGGGTTATTCGATGCCCTGATCACGAAAATGACACTCAATTTCGGCGTTGGCGCCAGTTTGGCGCCAGGGCTGTTTCCACCAAATTCGCTCTAAACTTGTATGCAGGGGTGATTTGGGGTCCTGATCACGACACATTGGCTTTCTAGCATTTGCACTATTCAAGGCAGATTTTCCGTTTTCCCTGGGCCCGCCCACTTGTACATATTACCTCAGACTAAGCTTAGGAGGAGGGAGGACTCCTGGGTGGGTGAACCAGGCAACGTGTGGCAAAAGTTGAAGCGTATAAGATCACAGGATGGGTGATTCACTCACTTCGGAGCACTCTTCTCCCCAAAGGCTTAGTCCTGATCGCGAGCTAATC